CCGTCTCAAAAAAAAAAAAAAAAGAAAAGAAAAGAAAAGAAAAGAAAAACAGACAAACAAACAAATAAATAAATACAGAATTATGGGCTTTTTTTTTCTTTTTCTCTTTGAAACAGAGTCTCACTATGTCCCCCTCAGTAGAGTACTATGGCATCACAGGTCACAGCAACCTCAAACTCAAGCGATTCTCTTGCCTCAGCCTTCCTAGTAGCTGGAACTACAGGCAACTGCCACAATGCCTGGCTATTTTTTGGTTGTAGTTGTCATTGTTTAGCAGGCCGGGGCTGGGCTTGAACCCACCAGCCTTGGTGCATATAGCTGGCGCCGTAACCACTGTGCTACAGGCATGGAGCCTAGAATTATGTCTTGAGGTATGCCAGATTAAAGTTAAAATTTCCGGCTCAGCACCTGTGGCTCAAGTGGCTAGGGCACCAGCCACATAAACCTAAGGTGGTGGGTTCAAATCCAGCTCGGGCCTGCCAAACAACAATGACGGCTGCAACCAAAAAATGGCTGGGCATTGTGGCGGGCACCTGTGGTCCCAGCTACTTGAGAGTCTGAGGTGGGAGACTAGCTTGAGCCCAGGAGTTGGAGGTTGCTGTGAGCTGTGGTGCCACGGCACTCTATCCAGGGGGACAGCTTGAGGCTCTGTCTCAAAAAAATAAATAAATAAATAAAGTTAAATTTCCAAGATCTTTAGGTAACTTTACACAAGTTGATGAAAGGATCTTCTTTGATGCTCAGGTGATTTATCAATGAGACAAACACTAAAGCATTGATTACAGCCGTAATTTTTAAGTATATGTACTTAAACTTTTGCTTCTCATTTTATATGAAAGGCGATGTCATTGGGTTTGTTAATAAATGTGTTCGCTTCTGAGGTGTGCATGGCAGTGGCACTGTGTTGCGTGTCTGTGAATATCACTGAAATGTCACAGCTCACGGTTGTTCATCCCTCTCCCATTTCTCTGTAAAACAGAAGTTACCTTGCTTTTGGAAAGGAACATACTGCTATTTTTGAGTATTTGTTTTTAGCCCAAGAGAAATGCAAAAATGATGTCTCCACAGAGAACAGACAGTTTCTCTAATCTTCTTTCCAGGGAAACCACCGCGTCACCCGCTTCCTCCAAGCCCTGAAGCCCAGAGCCCAGGCATGGTGGCCTCAGCGCCACAGCCCCACCTTACAGCTCAGGTATTGCTCCTTCCTCTCAGCACTGTATTCCAACAGTTGTTTAGCAGTTGTTCATGTCTTAAATTTTCATTAAAGTCACTTCAAAATGCAACAAATATAAAAGCCTCCAATTTTCAGTGCCCAAACATAATTACCAGTACCATTTTAATGTGTTTCCTGCTGTTTTTTTGTTTGGGTTTTTTTTTTTTTTTTTTTTTTTGAGACAGAATCTCTCTATGTCTCAAAAGAGTGAGAGTAGAGTGCTGTGGTGTCACAGCTCACAGCAATCTCCAGCTCTTCGGCTTAGGTGATTATCTTGCCTTAACCTCCCAAGTAGCTGGGACTACAGGGACCCCGCCACAATGCTCAACTATTTTTTTTTTCTTGTTGCAGTTGTCATTGTTGTTTAGCTGGCCCGGGCCCAGATCAAACCTGCCAGCCTCAGTGTCTATGGCCGTAACCACTGTGCTACAGGTGCCAGGCCTATTTTTTAAAATTACAAATTAGGTCTTTCTTATTTCTGCTCCTTCATGAGAGGGACCCACTTCCATCTCTCTTTGGAAGTGCTCTAAACTTTCTCTTTGTTCTTCCTAAATAAAATTTCTATTATACTGAAAAAAAATAAAATTATATCACATATAGATTTTACTATAGCTTTACCCATCTGGATACTATTTTTTAAATCTTTACCAATATAAGTAAAATAATTGCATCTATAATAAGAAATTTCTTATATCTTTAGTGGTATTAAGTACTTTTAACCTATTTTTTTTCCTTTTTTGTACTTTCTAAGACACACTCTTGCTCTGTCACCAGGCTGGAGTGCAGTGACATTATCACAGCTCACAGTAATCTCTAACTCCTGGGCTCAAGTGATTCTCCTGCCTCAGTCTCCCAAGTAGCTGAGACTATAGGCATCTGACAACAAATGTGGCTAGTATTTATTTTTTTAGAGACAGGGTCTCGTTCTAGCTCTGTCTGGTCTCAAACTCCTGGCTGCTAGTGATCCCCCTAACTCCATCTCCCAAGAGTGCTGGGATTATGGGCATGAGCCATTGCACCAGTCTTTCTTTTTTTTTTTGAGACAG